CCTACCGGGAGGAGCCAAGGGGAGGCTGGGACAGGAGACAGACAGACATCATCACCAAACCTGAATCCCAAAAGCACCATCAATGACACTGGTTCCCCAGCCCCAGCCTCACATGCACAACTCAGAACACCGCATGATGCACTGCCCTATCACACAGTCATGGCTCGATATACTGTAGGCTGGTACAGTCGGCATGTGCAGCACCCAGCAATAGCGACAGCTTCCTAGCACATTTCTCAGCTGCTTCCCCAGTCCGATAAGGCACTCAGCACTGTAGCAAGACCCCTCATCCGAGTAGCCCGTTCGCCAGGCACTAGTCCTACAGCTCAGCGGCTCACACTGTCAGACTCACTGCCACTTTCAGGAGAGGCCCGGCCATGTAGACGCCAGTACAAAGCTCCGTTGTAGTAGGGTCGGGGTGTCCACAGCAAGGTTTAGGGGCTAGGGTTCAGGATGTGTTAGGGCTCAGGACTGCAACTTGACTTGAGCCGAAATTAAAATGGCTAATTTAGGGTTTGGGGTCTTGGCGCTTTACTCCTTTTTATTCAGGAGCGTCAAGAAGTCTTGGGAGTTTAGGGCTTCAGGGCTCCTCGGGGCTTCAGGAGTTTGGGTTCAGGGGATTCAGGGAGTTTAGAGCCTGCGCACCGACTGGGACGCACCGACAAAACACTGAGCACAACGACACAAACACCGACGGCGAAACGGGCCGGGGCAGGACCGACACTAAACCAGGTCGGGCGGGACTGCGGCCGAGACCGAGACACCAGAACACGACGCAGATTAGGCCCGACGAGGACAACGACCGGACGCCACAAAACGGCACGTACAGACCAGAACGTCGGGAAATGACCGGAGCATGCACCACGACCTGACCGGGACACGACCCTGACAACGACCAAGGCACCACAGAACACCGGCGGGACACCGACCCGGCACTACGTGGAGCGCTTTCGGCAGGCCACATCCCCCGACTAGGTGATGGACCCCAAACCTGGGGTGCCTAGGGGGGAATTATACACGGACTGTACAAGGCTATTGCTAACTGTTCTGGCTCCTCTCTGAACCGCACCAAGCCACAGACTTTAAGTCCCAAAACCCAACCGCACCGGGTGGAGTCCGTGGAGAGAGTCTTTCCGCTGGCCGAAATCGCCAAGTATCGATGCGACCTCCAAGGCTTTTGTCAGTTTCTGCATGAGAATATTTCAATTAAACCCAGCGCGAATCATCTCTGATCAGACTGTTGCCCTTAGGGGGTTGTCAATTCGGGTTGTGGCTTTTCCGTTCATTAGTTTAAAGGTCAGAGTCTGAGTTTGAATCAAGTCTTTGGGCTGCGAGTTTTAGGCTGTACTCGGGTGCATGAACCGGATGAATGCTCAATAAAACTGTTCGGATGCAGCATCTCTATGATAAGACTGGTGTGCTACCGAAAATCCAAATTTCACTATCTGCTGGGGCCCGCAGACCGACATCTTGTCCTTCGTTCGAGAATCTCGGAACTAGGGAACCCTCAAATAAGCCCCAAACAGTCGGATCCTCACTACAAGCATGCACATGCCCATAAATAAGTCCCCCCCAACTTTTCCACAACTCCACAAGAGCACGAAATGAACAGCCTTATCTTTAGACGACACACTAGGTCAGGCGCAAGCCAAACAGGCTTTGGGCTCAGAGGTTTCCGGATTTATGACTGAGGGTTTAAGACTAAGATTTCGACTCTGACTCTCTCGGTTGGTAGATGTTCAAACGAGGGGTTCTTCGTATTGTAGAGCTCAAGGATTGAAGGCATTGCGGCTCTAAAGCCTGAATGCACGAAATAAGAAGCCAAGCGAGAGCAAGGATCCTACGTTCTGGTATATATGTTATGGACCACCCCAAGAGGGAATCCAAACAACATGAGTTGTGAGATCCCACATATAGGCCCCAGCTAGGTCCAGAGAATTGCCCAAGCGCTCTCCATCTGGGCCCCGGGCGAAAACATGCCAGCACTCAAGGTACCTCGCTACCGCAAGAGCCTCAAATCCCTTGTCACATCCCTTCAGTGCAGAACGTTGCTGCAAGAATAATGAGCGGTGTGGTCTGGTGAAACCTACACACCTAATCCCAAGGTCTCATTCCTAAACCGAACACCGGGATACCTGAAATGAACTCTAACTCGCAGGATCCGTCGAAGCTTCACAAGATAAAGGTTTGCTCTCGGAGGCATGTTAACAAGTATTACTTTTGGTCCTCAAAAAGTATACTGAGTGTACTGCATAGTATTTGGGCTTAAGGCATTTCATTGCCTTCTTTCATCGGCCCTTTTCTCTGCCCGCACAAACCGCAACTCCTTTCCTTAAAGGCCTGCAAACTGCTCACAAGACCCTGCGACAAGCATGAAACCCAACGAAGCCGTATAGACACACATAAAACTAACGACTCTAAACACTCTGGAGGACTCCATGCGTGCTCGGTAAGCACAGAATGAAAAGGTAGGAGGCACAGACAGGCACACCGCCTCAGGTGTCCCGTCCTGAAATCCAAAATGTGGCTCTTTCAAGAATCCTGAAACGCACCGGAACTTGGAGAACTTCCAATCGCTGAAGAACAGGTTCCGAACATGTGAAACGACACGTCTGCCGGGGTACTGGTATGTTAAACTCTAGTTGTCTGAGGGCTACAATGCGGCGTTGCGACAATGACAGCAACACAGGTCTGAAAGCGCATGGCCCTGCATAAGGATATGCGCTCCTCCCCCGAAACCACACTCCCCAGGCAGTTAATGCACGTACACCCTAAACTCTAAACCCTCAACCCTGAAAAACTGAAACCGAAACCTCAACCATAGAAGCTCTGCCTAATTTTTGTGTATGTGTTTGAACCCCTAAATACTTTAGGAGCCGAAGGTAGCGGCAAGTAGCGCCCTTAGCCAAGGCAGTGGCAGGTCCAGCGCTGAACCGCCCTCAATTGGCGGTTGCCTGGATTCTGAAATAACCAGCGGTGTAGGGCTTGAGGAGCGTTAGGGCTTAGAGCAAGCAAACGAAGCCTTATTCAGAACCAAAGTTGGAAACAAACGCTATAACAACAAGAGGCCAGAGCCCACAACCCCAAGGGTACAAGTATCTGGCAATCCCCCCATACTACGCTACGCTACGACCATCCTAAACACAAGTACCGAATTTTCGCCCCCTTGAGACCTTGAGGCTAAAAAGCATATTACTGTACAGCCCAGCTGCTGCAAGCCAATGCAGTTTGTACTCTCGAAGGCGGTGGCTGCTGGCCTCTTTGGGGCGGTAGGTCCGGTAGGTCTTTGCGGCTTTCCGGTGTAGGGTTTAGGGTTTGAGGACTCTGGTGGTTTTCGCCTTACTCTTTAAGGGTAGGGCTTCGGGAGTGTTCAGGTTTTATGATTTAAGATTTCAGGGTGCGGGGAGTAGGACTGAGGGTGCAAGCTTCAAAGCTTCAAGGCTGAAGCCACTTGTTCAAACCCCTGCAATGTACTGTAATTCTGTAAGAACTGACCAGCTCTTGCGGTTTCTTGGTCTTGCGATGCATTCTTGGCTTCCCTGTTTCTGCTACTACGATGTCAGGCCCGAACCTCTGCACAAATGCTAGTAGCAACTACGTAACTGTTCAAGGGGTCCAGTGTTCAGGTGTTTGTTGCCCCCGCCCCCCTCAACCGCTTGCTGCCGCACGCGGTTGGTGAGGCCCTTGCCCACCACAACACCGCAACCTGCAGACCTAACAATGCACACTTAACCCTTAAATCCCGAAAGCCCTCACAAGTCAAAACGCCTGAAACACAACACCTGAAACACAAACGAACAAACCACACCAGAAAGCCCCAAAGCCCTAAATCCTCCGGTGTCTGTGCCTCTTCCTGAGCTTGACCTGGCTCTCGTGATGGGTCGCTAATGGCTCCATTGGGTTGCGACCAGGGTTCTACACTTCAGGGTTCTACAGCAGTTCAGGGTCCTACAGGTGCTTGTTGTAAGCGTTACGATTCCAGAGCTTATGGTTTTAGGGGTTTGGGGGTGGACGAAAGCTCGACATGGGACCGGGCTGCTGAAAACCGACTCGGCAGACATGCATACATACATACCACAGACAGGCAGACCGACAGACAAACAAATAGACAGACAGACAGACGGACAAACAAACAGACATACATACGTACATACGTATACGTACCTTCATACATACATACATACATACATACATACATACATACAGACAGGCTTGTAATCAAACATAAGTACATAGAACATACATGCATACGTACGTACTCAAACATAGACATAGGGCTGTACGCATAGATGTGCATATTTGCACAGATGCACATGTATGAAGTGAAGAACTAGGCTTCACAGTATGCAGGACAATCCAATGCAAGTCCGGCCGACACATGAACTGCGCAAGAATCCGCACGTCAATGCTGTCAAGAAGTCCAGAGGAGCTTCAAGCAGGAGCACGCCTGGACACAGCATCAGCAGCATCAGAAAAAACTTTTTTTGTAGCCGAAGCCCAGGCAAGCGGATCCGACGCACGAAATGGCAAACCCTATTCCCCAACCCTACCAACCCCCATAAGCACTTATAGAACCGAGAACATGCTTTATAGAACCTGTTACAAGCCCTGCAAAACCTGAAGCCGGCACCAGAAACCTGGTATCGTTAACCCTGCACGACGGCATCATGTGTACGCTGCATCTAGCTGGCGTCATCGTTGATAGGAGACCGGCCGAAATTCACTCCTATGCATTGCGTTACCTAGACCTATCCAGCCACAGCGACGTGAAAAAGGATGTCGGTCATGCCTCGTGCCTATCGGGTCTCCTACACCAACCCCAACTTCCAAACCTCAAAGACTATTTTTATTTCCCTGAACCCAACCCCAAACCCAAAAGAACCCTCTACCATGCTATTTGGCCCTTAGCCCAGCTTGAGGCCGCTGCATTTCGCCACAAGTCCAATATTTCGAGAATCGTGTGATCGAAGGAGCTCTGGTCCTCGGCCAATGTAGGGGCCTGAGTAATGAGACTTGGGCCTGAGGGCATGTTACAGCCTAATGATGTCGAGAACTACTAGTTCAGACCTCTCTAGCCAATTCAGAAAGCGGGTTCGGGGAATGTGGCTTGGGTCGCGAGGAGGGAATCGCAAGACTAGCAGTAGTAGTAGTAGTAGTAGTAGTAGTAGTAGTAGTAGTAGTAGTAGTACTAGTAGTAGTAGTAGTAGTAGTAGTAGTAGTAGTAGTAGTGGTCGCAGTCGCAGAGCACTAGCAGTAGCAGTAGCAGTAGTAGTAGTAGTAGTAGTAGTAGTAGTAGTAGTAGTCGTGGTGGTGGTGGTGGTGGTAAGTACTAGGCAGTAGGTCCCAACCTCAAATACTTAGCGCAATCTTACGTACAACAGCGCATGACACCCACCTACCCAAGACTGACGGGCCTTAGCAGCATAGAAAGTGACACTGAATATTGCGACACATACTAGTAGCCATGTCATGTCCAGGTAAGCTCGCATCTGGGTATACTTCGAAGCATGTACTGGAAATACTCATTACTACTGTACCTGTTGAACCCCCTGTGACTTGGCAAGGTGCTGGGTTGCTTTGGGGTCGGCCTGTAGCCTGTTTCTGTGCAAACCTTGATTCTTGGGACGGGAAGGTTGTGTCAAGAATCTGGGGAACGTTTCAGAATGCCTTGCGGACATCTTATGGAGAGGGTCGTTAAGTTTAGTTTGGAATGCTCTGAAAGACCAGCGAACTGACTATGAAAGTTCTGCATAATCTTCGAGCAGAGTTCGGAAATGGCTGGAAAGGGTCGGAATCGATTCTCAGGCTTTGGGTAGGTGTTGTGCAGTGATTTATATGGGTTCTGCGAACCTTGCGGTGGACCACGATAAGCGGCGAGGTCCGAAAGGGCAAACATCCAAAGTATGTTCTATCGTACAAGATGTTGGAATGTCTTGAGAAAGCCGAAAGCTCAATTTGTAGAGTGTTTCGATGTCCAGATACTGTACCCACCTGACGTAGGAAAGCGGTTCATGAGAAACAGTGTCACGCCAAGGTCCGGAAAACCTGCACATTGGCCTGCACATCTACGAACCTGACGGTCCCTACTTCCTCCGATCCCAGAGCTTAAAGCCTTGAGGTTAGGACGGCGCATGCGTATTGTCCTGCAGTTGCTTAGAAGACACACATGCTCCGGACGATTGCACACCTGGAATCCTGAACCATCTTCTTCAACCCCCTCATCTCCAAACCCTGTGCCCCAAACTCTAATGCCCTGAAGCTAACTTCTTAAGCCCACAACCTCATTCCCCAAAACCATTGTAGAGCCCTGTGCAGCCCGTGTAGAACCTCAGAGAGTCGCTGAACAATCTTATTGAAAACCCTCATAAAACACCTTCATCGAACAACAGCAATGCTTTATCAAGACCCCTATCAAAACCTTTACGCACTAAACTACTTTCCCTGAAGGCTGCCTGAGGAAAAGGCGAAGTCTGGTAAACCGCGCCAGCGCAAACGGCCTCTCCAAGTACTGGGGCGGGCACACGTGCCGTGGGGCGAGGTGTTGCTTACATAGAGTCTCGTAGGGTTCTTGTTGAAAGTTTTCGAACTGCTGCTGCAGATTTTCAGTTTTTAGAACCTGGCAATCAAAGTGGGTTGGGTTGGGCACCATACAAGCGTTTTTCGGGCGAGGCTCATGGCTATTTCCAAGTCAGCATCCGAATTACTACTATGCATAAACAGATGCCCAATACGACGTTGAACACCTTCCGAAAAAGCTGTGTCTACATTTTCAGAAAATTTCAAAACACACTGGACCCTGAATCGATTTTGAACCTGGTATAGAAACCCTTGGCCCAGTAGGGACCCATAGGTTATGTGCATGGTCGATATAGGATCGGAGTTCATAGGCAGACGCAGAGAAAGTCTGCTTCAATATTTGTACGCAATCAGAAGAGGAGGAAGCATAATGCATAACTTAACAACACCTACAAAAAACGAAGGTTTCAGACACACATACATACAATGCTCTGGGCCAGTCAAGATGGCTTGAACACCCGAAATCCTCAACCCTAAACTCTAAGCAATGTAAACCCAAAGCCCGAACTTTAAATCTTGAACCGCCAAACACTCAAGGCCGATCCCCTGCAGGTTCGGAGGACGGCATTTGAGGACGATATCTCGAAACATCAGGGGGTTTATTGAGGGTCTCGGGTTGAGGGCTTTCGGGTTTTTGAGTTTTGGTTTTCGAGCTGAGGTTTAAGGGTTCAAAGTCGGGAGCAAGAAGTCAAGAGAAAGCTACATATCCAGAGATCGCAGCCCGCAACCTGCGACGGCTTGTTGCGGTTTAGGGTGTCTGGTGTAGTGTTTGCAGTTCGATGTTTAGGGCTAAGGTTTAGGGTCAGTGCGCCACCCTACGCGCTCCTTCTACCCAGAAGAAAGTGTCCTTGTGTTCAGGTGCTTGCTTGACTTGAGCCTACTTTAACGCTTGGCCACGAGATCCGGACAGTTCCAAACTTACCGAGTTTCATGGCCCTCCCGTCTCCATGTTTCAGACTAACAAATTGGAGTTGGAGCCTGGGTGATGGGCTGGCTGAGGTTTTTCTCATAGTGCCCGATGAATTCCAAGAAACGCTGTGCTCACACGAGATTCGCACAAACGGTCGAAGCCTAGACTCTTCGACGGCTTCGGCTCTTCTCCTATAACCCTACCGCTCAAAACGCTGGTTTAGAGTAAAGTTTAAGGTTTAGCGTAACATAAGGTTTTGGAGGTACGAGGTTTGGGGCTTTGGGGTACGGGGTTTTAGGGCTTCACGACTTTCGAGCTCTTGTAGGGTTTTGGGCCCAACCGCCAAACTACAAGCAGCAATCTGAGCCGTCCGCCCAGCAGCAGAGATAGAAAAAGGCGGGAGGCATCACTGCCTGCACGAAGGCTCTGTGGTCCCGGCTGATACAATTATATCGGGGGGTGGAGAGGGGTGTTGCTTAAGGGTCTTTGAAGGAGGCCCTCTAATGTTCGGGGACGACGGCAACAGCGCCCTGCCAGAAGACCCGACAGGGTGGCGGCCGTTTCTGTTCATGGTAAGGTCCCTCGTCTTCTGAAACTCCCAAGTACCATTTGACCATAAGGTACAGTCGAGCTTCGGGTGCATGGCGAGCTTAGCAACAGATCTCAAGGCCTCCTCGTTTCATCCGGGAATGTTGCAAGTGTATCATACGGTACACTTAGGCAAAGTATCCTATCCAAACATGCTCTCCCAAGGCTGCTTCTCCTTCGATCGTCCGTTCTGCCCCCGATGTAATCACTCCGATAGGCTTCACCCAACATATCATTTACCAAGGGTAGAGCTCTCGGTACCTATCTTGTATATGTACCGACCGTACCGAAATGCATAATTCCAGCGTCGGTAATTCAAACCCCAAGGTACCTAATGTGGTATTGGCGGGACATTCATAAGAAGCTGTAAATACAGTATTGCAAGCCTTTAATGGTTAAGATTTTTCGGCCCCCCCACCCGCCCAGGAAATGTGGAGAACTTTCGGTTCTGCATCGACATCGGTTGGTGCAGCAGAAAAGGGGTTGGGCTGGGTCTGTTCTTGAGGACCAGAAATACTGTCCAATGCCAAACAACTCGTCGCAAGAAACATGCGCTAAAGAGCCGACGAGAAAGGTGAACGTTCAAAGTTGATTCAGCAAAGATTTAAGTTGATCTGTCAGAATGTAATGCTAATCCCCGTGCCATAAAGATGCGGGGGCCCATATACAGTTCGGGTTCGAGAGGTCCAATACAAGGAATGTACAACAAAACCTGTAGTGCCGGCATGCTTGGCAGTTGGCCTTTTGCTTACCTATATGAGATACAACGAGCTTCAGAAAGGGCGAAGCTGACTCTTGAGGAGATGCTACTGGTTTAGGGGTTTAGGGTTGCCACAAATCCACGAAACAGACTCATAAGACTCATTCAGGTGCAAGTCGATAACCAACCTCTGTTTTGTAACTGTATTATTTTCATTTGTTTGAACATCTGGTGCAATGTTTTTTTAGGGGAGTTTCGGCCTACCTCACATGGCCGCCGCCTAGTGTCATCCGTGCTACTGTGTTTTTCGGCAAGGGATGGGGGCGGGGGGTGTGAGAAGATGCTGTGGTATCGTTTGGGGCCTGAACCCTAACCGCTGTTACAACCGTGTGGGAGCCTTAGCGGGACAAACGAGGGCGCATCGTTTTTGTTGGCTTATCGGCTGCAGCGCAGTTCGACGACCAAGTTTGCGAGGACAATGTAATGTTGCAGGATTTGCAAACTCTATGAGCAGTGAGGCATCAACACGTTTTTCAGCACGGACTGAGGTGCCGGCCAGCGCCCATGCAACCCTCACCCCGTCATCAGGCAAGAGCGCGCAGGAAAAGCTGTGGATGACAACTGACGGAAGCTTAGACTGTACACGTTACCTATCATATGGTGGCTACACCTGAAGAGCTTTCTGGGCCCAAGCCCCGAAAAACCCTAAACCCTAGGAGTGGAAACCAGGCTCTTCATTACGGGACTTCCGGATCCATCCACAGGCACCTGAGCCTCGAAACCCGATACCGTCAATCCACGAGTCACACCCGACAGTAAACTCCGAAACCGGAAACTGTAGTGTTCAGGGAATCTCCTTACCCCGAAGCCCTAAACGTAAACTGAACCGCTCCCCGAAACCACCGCCTCGGAAAAAAACGCCCGCAGAATTCCTCGGCTGCTCCGCCACCGGCATGGGATACAGGGTTGAGGATTGAAGGACGGGTGGGTTTTCAAGGGATATAATGTTGAGAAGCCCCATTTGTTGTGCACCTGCCGTTGTCTCCGTATGATAGACAGTATAACTTACAGTGACGCGAAAGCGAACGATAAGCACACATGGGGGCACGCAACAAAAAACCCAAAGATAACCCTCCTAAACTCAAGGCCTTGTTCCCCACATCCTGAACCAGCAGTGACAGCAGAAGCAGCAATGGACCGTGATTCCTTCAGTGTCACAAGGTATCGGAATTCCACGAGGGCCTGGGCAGTCCGGACTTCTGGTCCTTGGTTCCTAAGCAGGAACCCAGGCCCAAAACATACGGAGTATGGCAAGCCCCCGAGCCCGAAAAACTAAATTCAAAGTTAAATTTTCCCGAGGATGCCAAACATCAACCCCCAACACTTCGGTAACTCCCGAACGTCAAACCGAAGCATCCTAACCCCAAACCAAACCAAACCTGCCTGTCATCGTGGGGTTGAAGTCCGAGGATTGTTTTTGAGTGTTCTGACTCCCTCGGGTTGGGCTTCTGCAGGTCTCGAACGCAGGAAAACAAACTGAAACGGCCTCCGCAGCTGAGGTGCAGATTCTGAAACTCGGGGAAGTCACGCATCACGACAACCTGGGGCGGCTTTGGGCCCAAATTGAGCGAGGGGTTGCTAATCAGGATTTGTAGACAGGTTTACAGCATTTAAACTTCAGGGTTTTGGCGCGCTGCCCAACGTCTTTCTTGGAAGTACAAGTGTGTGTGACATGTTTTCACAAGCATACTTCTCGCATGCCCCGGGGCATCGTATTCGCATCTACCCAGAATCGACATGAAGTTGTTTTGCCTTTTTCATGATACCTGCTGAACGGCTAAGTTCTTCCGTCATCGCTTTCGGCGGGTGCGGCTGACATGGGTCATCGAGTACAATGTCATGCATCCTCCCAGAACAAGCCACAACAGGTGGACTTCCATTTTCCACCCGCGCAGGCTGCGAGTCTAGACTACAGAAAACAGTAAGGCTTTGGGGGTACGCATGAAGACTGTAACTGCGTGGGAAGACAAACAGAACGGAGTGTAGGAGACGATCGACCTGTAATACTGTTCGAAGCTGCCTTTAAGAAGCACGCAGTAGAAAGCTCTGTTTTTCACGTAAACCCTAAGCCGGGAAACCCTGAAAGAAATGGATCCCTCGTCTGCGTGAAGGGCTTCACTCCCATACCCAAGCCCGGTGAAGGAAGCTCAAATCTTAATCTCAGCTTATGCCCCTGACCAACACACCCCTTCTTTAGGGGCATTTAATGTTTCAATATCATTCTAGTCCTTGTTCAGCAACGAAAGTGTGCAGCAACGTCCATGGCCCCGTGCAAGTCAGATGCCAGCGGATCAGGGGGCCCAAAGGGTCGCCCTGCCGGACACCAGAGGAGGTATCCAGACAGCTCGAGCAAGAGCCGGGACATGCGTGCAAGCCTGTGCCAATACAGCGACACGGCAGATTCAGCTGAAAGCATTGCGAAAGAAGAGCTTGACCAAGACCTTGAAGGTTGAGCCAGCATCTGGGTATGTCCAAGCCCAAACCGTATGAATCCATTTGTCAGCAACGACCGCCGACTTGGGCTAGCCAGAACTGCGTTTCATTCAAACCAAGCAGCATTTGTCCGTGAGGGGCCTAAGGAGTTCACCCGCAGCTACGGGCGGACAGCCCTTTGAAGGCACCAACACAAGGCTATAACGAGAACCTAATCTCGGCCTGTCTGGAACTTTAAAACCTAACCGACGAAGCCCTTCAGCTTGAGAGTAAGAACCGACGGTTTAGTGTCTTGTTCAGGGACTCCATGGGACTCCCTTAGCACGGCGGCAGAAGCGGGCGATGTCTGTCGTCGCAGTGGCTTTCGAAAGTCTACAAGTTTCCTCAATTTTTCAGTGTTTGCGTTTCGTCGCAGCCTCCCAAATCGCAGGAACCCCACAAAGTTTGCAGCAAACGCTTCTTACGGACTGGCATTTCGAGCACCACTGGGTCGTCTGGATGGCCGACTGCGTAATAGGCACAGGGGGGGCAACAAAAGCACCACAGAACGGCAAAATATTCAACGGACGCTCTTACACCAGGATTTTCTGGCCACGACGCCCTTTGAGGCTTGCTGGCGCCAGTCGTCACCCCAAACCCCAAGCTTCAAAACCAGCAAACCATCCTGCGAAAACCCAACTCTCAAATCCTTATCCCTTCACCAAGCCCATGCACTCAACAGACCCCAAGAAAAAAAAAACATCACGCCGACAAATCAATGCCTCATGCAACAGTTTAACCTAGAGCCGTGAGCACGACAGCCCTGCTGCTGATGGACAAGATCCAGCATTAAGCTTCCTAAACAAACGGGATGACTGCATATCCCCAATCATGCATGATTTCGGATGTTGTCCACAAAGCAGCCCTGTAAAACTCTGTAGAAACCCATAAAATTCAACAGCAGCAAAAAACACTCCAACACCTTTTAGGCCCTCTGTGCAGCCGCCCAGCCCCAAACCCTCAACCCTTCAAGCTCCACATACAAAATGGCCCCTTTGGTGGGTGCATGGCTGGTAGAACGCCATCGCTGGGCGGCGCGACGGCGGAAGCCTGCCACCCAGAACAGAAGGCACCCAAGCGTTTCTTTAGATGGGCCCTGTAACTCTGTAACCGCTTATTGTATCGGGTTCGGGTCTGGTATAGGGGCCTTCTGATTCCGAGTCGAAAGAGTTCACGAAACCCCAAGACACCCAAACCCATAAACCAACCACCCAAAAAAGAAGCACAAACAGGCGCCTAATCCGCAACCCATAAGCCAGACCCTCCCCCAGACCCACCACACCCCCACCCCCACCACCCACACCCACACCAACATGCACAACTGTCTTCCTTACGCTTGCATTGCATGTAGTAGAGCACACTTCACGTATGCGGCTGTCATTCTCCAACGCAAGTTGAAAAGTAGAAAAGCATACTTCATGTATGCGGCTGTCATTCTCCAACGCAAGTTGTATAGAAGAGCATACGTCAGGTATGCTCCTGTCATTCGCCAACGCAAGTTGTACAGTCGACGATGTAGCGTCTAGGAGCACGAAGAGACACTGTCCCGACATCTTTCAGCATTTATCTAGGAGGGTATTTTGCAGAATCTGTTGCGCTCATCCTTGTGGCCACCGAGCTTTCTAAACAAGGCTAGAGCCTCGCGACTAGCACTATGACAGATATCCAGCCGAAGTGCACACTTGGATTAACCCATGATATGACCGACATCATATATCGGGTTAGCAAGCTAGAATCATCTTCTCATCTCTTCATTTCTTCATTCACTGTCACTTGCTGAATGCTTTGTACATAGCAGGTACACAATAGAGCGTCCCAGATTGCTTCACAGCACTTCTATCACCGTCTTCGTTTTCGCAGTGGATAATAGAAGGCTCACTGACCCCCTGCTGTTTGACTTGTTTTATCCCTTAGCTTCAGGGTTGTATGTACACGCGCACACACAGACCCTTAATGCGGCTTTTCACGCCGGGAGCCTTTGCACGGTTTAGGGTAAGAGGCAATGTAAACTTTACCCGGCACCTGAAACCCAGAATCGGACCAAGAGAGTTCAGGGCTTTTCAGTTGGAGGGATCCGGGATCCGTGTGCCGGCAGTCCGTCCTAGACCATCCTTGCACCCTCAGGTGCAGCCTGACGCAGGACGTCTGTGAAGGAAAAAGAGAGGAAGCACTCGTGCGAGATGAACCTTGCGTGCAAAGCCCTGAACCTGAACCCTGTGTACCCTGAAAGCTACAGCCTGCACCCCGAACTCGTGAACCTCCGCATTAGGCGTATCGGAGTTTTGGAGCTTTTGGGACCTGGGTACGAAAGTGCAAGAAGTGCTTGCTGTAAGGTTTATGCTCTCACAACTCGGACATGCCAGGCGAGGTTCAATAGGTCTGGGTCGGCGTGATACGATTCAAGGCAGAAAGGCTTGATGTGCTGTAAGGTTTAGGGTCTTTTAACGACTTCGGGTGAACTTGGCTTTGGGTTGTTTTAGGGGGGCACTTCTCCTCCATATTAGCAGCGGTTTAAATCGACTTTGCTGGTGGTGGTGTAAGCAGTTTAATGCGTGTGTTCTGTCAGCTGTTTAGATGCTACGGCCGGGCACACAAGTTGTGCAGCTGTTGCATCCCTAGACCCCGCACCCTCTCTTGAGCACGGGGGCTGCAGTGCCACCACCAGCAATCCCCAGTATCTCCGAAAAGGGCTCCACGAGTTTACGTGTTTGGGGAAGTTGCTGGTCAGGATCGGCCGTGAAGACCCATTCGAAGGCCTGGCGGAAACATGAGAGCTGCCTTGCTAGGGGTCCATGGGTTCTAGGGTGTTCTGAGCTATAAACTTATGCTGGTCCGAATGACCGTTTAAGCAGGCAGGGCCATGGCCCGTGTTCGCTGCAAGAAACTTTTCTTGTGAGTAACTAGTGACTCCAACCAACCACCAGCAGAATCATATGGAAAGGCTCCAGATTAAAGGAACTACCTCTGAGAGTATATCATTAAGAGAACCTCCAACAAGGCCCATCACTTAGGGGAACTCCTCTGATCGGTAGGTGTGAGTTAGCAAGTGCCGAGCGATCTGATCAGGTGCAGTGTGACTCTGCAGGCTTTGTGTGATACTGACTTCTCTCTCACCTACAAGCAACATGGTCCGCACAAAGCAAGGAACATGACAGTGCAGTAAGGCTGAGGAAGCATAAGACTGCAACGCTGCTATTTTGTTTCACGTATCGCGTGGATGCGTTTTTTGCAGTCCGGCACGAGTATCCGCTCGAAGCAGTCGGGGCGGACATAGGACATAGCCAGGCAGTCATTTAATAATACGCTCAGATAAAGTTAAAGCTACGTACACATATCCGAATGTGTGCTGTAGCCGCAGTACGGCGTCCCGAAATGCAAGCACACCTGCTCGAAGGTTCATGGGCAGCTGTGACAAGAGATGTAGTATCATTGCTTTTGATCCCACTAGTGAAGCCACCCTAACCATGAACCAGTACTCTAGTGGTGCTTGAGTCTTCAGGCCGCACTCACCCTAAACCCCGAGACCCCGACCCTCGAAACCTCGGCGGTGGAATCTATTCCAGGTTTCTTGGACTTGATAAACAAAAGTTTGTGGCTCAGGCTGCTCAGGGTTTGGGATTTTAAGGTTTGGGCATGTGGTCTGGGGTAAACTCGATCTTGGACATCCTTTTCCCAAGGGTGAGGCATCAAAAACTATTAAAAAGATCCAAAATACTATTTTTAAGGGATCGGAAACAACTGTTCCTACTAAAAAGCCATATAGAGAGGAGGCAGGGTTCAGGTGGAGGGTTTGCCGTCAGTGCATGTGGACAAGCATTTTGCATGTCCAACAGAACCCGTTAGTAACTCGGGGGAACTCCTTTTGGCCGTGCGCGAAAATCTTGGCTCCGTGCCTGAAAAGCGGCAATTCTTGGGGGAGAGCTTTTTGGCTCTGGTCGAAGCATTCCGGCTGCGCCCGGGTGTGCTTCGTCCTCCTTGCTGGCATATATTTCTAGAACACGCTCCCTCATCTGGCGATTTCGGGTCATCATATGTCTTAACCGTGCCCTGGCGTTTGGCGATTCCGATGCATCCTGTATCTTAACCCTGCGCCCTCATTTTGCGATTCCCGTTCATCATATATCTTAAACATGCCCTGTCGTTTGGCGATTCCGATGCATCCTTTATCTTAACCCCGCTCCCTCATTTGGCGATTCTGGTTCATCGTACATCTTAAACGTGCCGCCTGATTTGGTGAATCCGGTTCCCATATTTGGCGATTCTGATTCATCAAAACCTTAAACACACGCCCTCATTTTGCGAATCCGGTTCCTCAATGTTCGTCATATACCTTAAACACGCGCCTCGTTTGGCGATTCCGGTTCATCACGCATCTTAAAGACGCCCATCGCATATCTTAAACACGCCCCCTCATTCGGCGATTGCGGTGCGTCATATATCTTAAACCCGCCTCCTCATTTGGCGAGACGGTTCATCATCATCATCGCCATCATCATCATCATCATCATTATTATATGTATGTATGTATATATATATATATATAAGCGTCTCGGCCCAACGCGCGGGCCACCCTTTATAGGGCCCTGTCCTTTATGCCTTGCACATGCCGCGCTCTCTCCATGGATCGTCTTCGAGCTTTGATTCCGATGAGGACCCTTCGATGTCCCCAGGCTCTGCTCATCTTAGCGATCTTGACTCTGCCGACAGTGCAGCCCAAGCCGACCCGCGCCCGGAGCAACCTCCTATGGACAGCGAACTGGACGGTAGCGACCATGGACCCAGCTCATCGTCCCAACCTGCATCCGCCTTTGGACCACAGCGCCCAAGGAGCACTTCCTCAACCACGACATGTCGGATCGGCTTAGCTGGTTTCGCAGGCAAGCGTTATGCAAACTCTGCAGCTGCTACATGGAACAACGGTTCCGAGAGCAAGGCCATACTGAGAGGAGTGTGGTCCAACGCCTCAGCGGCTTTCGCCGCCGGTCCAATGGATGCAGCCCTGAAGAGATGGAACAGCTGGTACAACCATGGCTACTGGAGCCAACTGGAACGGAATTTTCCCAGGACTTTGCGTCCCTTCGGAGCGCGTTGGAAAACCCTGTCCTTCCCAACGACATGGGTTGGATATTCGCCAGAGGACAACAAGGCGATCCATCCAAAGCACTGTTGGTGCAACAGATGCAGACTTTGCTTGCACGCCGGCTGGACGAACAGCTCTTCTTCTCCAAGACCACCACGCTGGCATACGAGCTGGTCGACATTTGTGCTTTGGCTTTCTACCAGGAGCACATTCTGTCCATCTGGCCGCTTCTGGGTTCCGATCGGCAACGAGAACTACAGGATTGGTTTTCGCGCTTCCGCGGTCCATACAAGGACCAGTCTGCAGCGTCGAGCTCCAGCGCGCAGCTGTAGTGCCAGCATCGGCATAGAGGAAGATGGGGCACCGCTGATCCGCGGTGGCCGCCCCGGTCCCAAGTCCGGGGACCCATGCGACAAACGACATCCAGGACCTGAGCACCTTACCGCATGGTAGACGTGAGGGTAGGAGATCAGTTTGGTCGAACCTCTCCTGTAGCTTGCAACATGCAGCCCTCAAGCTTTCTTTACTCTGAAGTGAAGCCTTTCGACCCTTTGATACCCAGTACTCTTGGCCAAGCTAATAGTACCCAGCACTCCGAACCAACCACAGTCGCTGTTTGTACAAGGTTTCACCCTTTTTCCCGCACTTGGAGGAGAGGCATTCGGAGCTCAGACTCTGCCCACGCCGCCTCCTTCTCAGGTCCGCCGCTGCTAGGATGTGTGCTCGGCATGTGGCTGCTTCTGAAGTGCTGCACATGGCGGCACTTGCATAGTCCCAAGCCTCGGTGGATCACCACCCGACTTCTGCCAGGCCAGTACCGACGACGCTTGAGGATAATGCACGGTGCACGCCTGCAAACAATTCGGCACCACACCCCGCGTGGCAGCAGCAGGCTCCTGAAGAGCCCAACACATAGGACCCTACAGGCTAAGCACACCCTAAATACGTCCCATAGTCACCTGCGCCTTGGAAGACAGTGTCTACTCATGCTCCTAACATGGACCCCTATGTACCCTGACGGCAGGATTCCCGAATCAGGCCAACCCTGACTCCACCCCAGCAATCCCGGGACAACAGGGAGCCCAGTGGCGTCCACCGGCAGGTGGCTTCGCAGCACGTACCGCAGCGGGTAAGCGCTCTTTCCGCCGGGCCCAACAGCGTGCCCTAAGAGACGGCCAGGGAACTATGTACAGGGGCAGGTACTGCACAATAGCGGATCTCGGAGCGCACATTCTTCCAGCTAGAACAACCCATCATCGTAGACCCCTGCGAATCGACCAGCCGTCCGCTTCTCCGAGTCAGCACCCGTCCAGTGACTCTCGCCAAGCACGAGTAAGGATGGTTACGTGGAATAGTGGTGGATTACATTCCACTAGGTATGCTGAACTAATCTCCTGGGCCAACGACCAGCACCGTAAGAAGGACCTTCAAATGGTAGTCGTGCAGGAGAGTCACTGGCCTGCCAGCTCCGAATTCGACACGGAGTTTTGGCACTGCATACATTCCGGCACCCAGACAACGCAAGGAGGCATTTTGTTTATGGTTGCTAAGACTTTTGGACATAGGGACCTGCTAAGGTACTCCGA